TGATGCACAGGCCATGGAAGGGTGCTGCTTACTAACTTGCTCTCATGGCTTGCTTACTCTGCCATCTTATAGAGCCCAGGACCACCAGCCCAGGTCGGCACCACCCACGATGGGCTCGGCCTTCCCCCATTGATCACTAATGAAGAAAATGCCTTACAGCTGGATCTCATGGAAGCATTTCCTCAACTGAGGCTCCTTCCTTTCAGATGACCCTAGCTTGTGTCAAGTTGACACATAAAACCAGCCAGCACAGATATGTTTAGTGGTGTGACAGGTGGTTCTAAAGACATACACTTTGCTTTTCCACCAATTCAGGGAGGATATTTGGTCAGTCCTCACATTTCAACTTAGGAAATTAGAGCTGTAAATCCAGTAAGTGGCAAACCCATTGTCCATACCCAGACTCAGCTCTCTGGCCTTTTTGACTGTTCTCCCTCTTCTGTTCATTGAGTAAGAGGAATCTTGCTGCACCGTGGTCATTCTATGGCTCTCTGATACCTCTTCATGCTCAACTACTGACAGATGCACAATTCCTACAAAAAAGCTGTTAACCCTCAACACAGTCTAAGAGCTGATAATGAGAATAAAACTTAATACACACACATACAAAGAAATACCATGCACCGAAAATACATGTAATTAACACCTCATTTCTTATTTTGATGCTAGTGGCATTTAACCTTTAACATAATAAACAGGTTTATGAAAAGTTACAAGGAAAGAGAAATCAAGTCCTATTTATTTCATGACATTAGGTTAAGAAGAAAGCATTTTACATCTCAGGAAACCCTTTGTGCTAACACCTAACAGCCCAGATTCAAAAAACGACAGTTGTCATGAGTTCCAGCCTTGTCACATCCTGGCCTGATGTCCATGGACAAACAGCTGTAGTCTAGATGTAACATGGTGCTGTGAACAGTGGTATTTGTTTCACCTGCTGAAGCCTCCAGTAGTCTCATGTTTTGACATCTAGAGCAGAACAGAACCTGACACATGCAGAAACAGGTCAACAGACTAGCATGTTGCTCAGGTTCCATGTTTTGCTCGTTTCTGGCTGCTCACCCATATCTCCTGATTCTTAGCCCAGCATTTGGCACAAGAAACTCAAACTGCTTTTGTTTGCCTGTAGAAGAATTTTAATTTAGAACATGGCTGCTCTGGCAGGAGATCACATCCAAAGACCTTCTAGGTTCCTGTGGATCCAGCTAGAATACCAACACACCTTTAATCCAGGAGACCAAAGCAAGCAGATCTGGCTTCAAGGCCAGCCTGGTACAGAGCAAGTTTCAGGTAAAGAGAGGCTTAGGTCCAGGGATGGCAGTCCATGTTTTTTTCCCAAACAATGAAGGTAAAGTTAGTTTGTAGAAGGAAGCACCCATGTTTGAAAGTGATGTCTAATTGAGTAGCAGAAACAATGATGGATCAGAACAAGACTTGAGAGAATAGGATATACCCAACTCTCATGAAAAGAGAGAGGATACATAAGCTACTTAGCTACTTAAGGGGCAATGAGAGAGAGAGAGAGAGAGAGAGAGAGAGAGAGAGAGAGAAGTAGTTTTACCCAGACAGTAACAGAGAGATGTGTTGCAGAGAGAGAACTCAGATGAATGAATGAGCTAGAGAATGAGAAGGAACCAGGAGGTTAGAGCAGTTGCTTGAGTTAGTTTGAGGCTAAGCAGAGAATTCAGAGGCGGATAGAAAAGCCAGACTGAATAAATCGGCGGAGAGTGGAGTTTGAGCCAGAACAGCTGAGCTGAACCAGCCAACCTGAAGCTTAGTAAGAAAGGGTGAGTTTATTCATTAGTAAGTCTCAGAAACATTCTAGGGCTTGATTAGATTGTATTGAGTCTGGAAGCTTCCAGGACTGGGCCTAAATTAGCAGACAGAGGCAGCAATCCTCTTAGACAACAACTAAAACAGGTTGAATAAAAGTTCCTTTTACAATTGTCCTTACTCTAACAAGCAGAAAGTGCTATTTCAGAATGAATGCCACTGGTCCACTTTCCAGGCAACTTAATATTCCAAAGGTCCTTATATCTACTTGCTCCACTGTCCAGCCAGCTGTCACTGCCTTGTGTTGTCATCCCTAGCCAGTGTTTCCCTACAGCTCTGGGGATGTCAACATCCTAATAAATTCTATTAGATCCATGCTGCCAGGTGTATATTCTGAAACCCAAGAATGCCCAAGCCTGAAAGTCTTTTTTTCTTCAACCTCTGTCTCTGCCTCTTTTCTTTTAATCCTGGGGATCAATCAGTATCTAACCCAGGGTAGTGAGGATGTCATGTAAGTGTCTTACCATGGAGCTACACCCAGGCCCCTAAAGCTTTTCACAGTGTATATATTGCGAAACCCGTTTACGCTGAAAATTATTCACTGACAAAACACCTGTGTGGGCAATTTTTTTTTTCTTTCCTGAAAGGCGTGATTTTACCATGGCAGCCACATTAGCAGTGCTGCTTTTGATGGCAGGTCAGGCTGACTTGCCACTTGCACAGATGATGACAGCTTATCAAGAGAGGGGGGCTGTCTACAAAGTTGTGTCTGGAGGGAAGGAAGGAGTATGGTGTGATTCAAGAACACTGAGCCATTGCCACCCCTAGATCTGCCTACTAATAGGAAGACTCCAGAGAGAGCAGCATACAAGAGGGCTCTCATCAGGGTCCCAGCTTCAGATGGAAGGCCGCCCTCCCCCACCACCCCCACCTGCAGTGAATAAGCCTGAGGATTGGTGCACAGCCTCTCCTCCCATCCCTCTAGACTTCCTGTTGGTTCCCTTCCGGGTTGCAGACAACCTAATCCAGTGGAGATCCCGTCCCTGGACTAAATGTAACACCAGGTCAGCCCATCTGAAAGGCTAATAGAAGCAGCTCAAATAACACATTCTGCCATACAATATGTGCAGTCTGGCAGCCTTCTAAACCTGAAAACTCAAGGATGCTGGCAAGAGTTGTACTTAATTAGGTTAGTAGCACGCACAAACATTTGGAAAGTGGCACCACACACAGAACCTGTTTTTATTTGCTGCTTTGGGGCTATGAAGTTCTTTGAGCAATTTGTAAGAATTCCTTGGCTAACCTGAAAGGTGAGAGCTACTACCCTGAGGAGTACTATTTATCCACCAATCCCCTTATAATCCATCCATCCATCCACCCACCCACCCACCCACCCGTCCATTCATTCACAAAAAGCTGTCCACAAAGCCTTTTGTCGTAGTTAGGTCTACTATCGCTGTGATGAAATACCATGACCAAAAGAAGCATGAGGAGCTAAGGAGTTTCTTTCACTCAGAGTTCTATATAACAGATCATCAGCAAAAGCAGTGAGAACAGGAACTTAAGCAGGACAGGAACCTTGAGGCAGGAGCTGATGCAGACGCCATGAAGGGGTGCTCCTTTCCAGCTTGCTCATCATGGCTTCTTCAGCCTGCTTTTTTTCTTATAGAACCCAGGACCACCAGCCCAGGGATGGCACCACTCACAATGGCCTGGGTCCTTCCCCATCAATCACTGGTTAAGAAAATGCCCTACAGCCTAGCCCACACCTTGATCTTAATTGAGGTTCCCTCATCTCAGATGACTTATGCTTATGTAAAGCTGATATGCAGCCTTCTTTCTGAAGTGTCTGCTATGCAAAAGAGGAGAGACTCTAGGATATAAAAAAAAAAAAAAAAAAGAATGATATCAGCCCTTCCTGCAGCCTGCAGCTGAGCAGAAACCACCAAGTTGCTGGAAAATAGTAACTTGATCTTGAGTTGGCAATGGGTTTTCCCCTCAGAGCTTTCTTGCTCCTTGGCTTTTCATTCTGAGAGGAGTTTCCTGGTTCCATCTGGGCTTTAGGGGGAAAAAAGACCAGGACCCATTAGCAATCACTCACGTGGATGTCAGAGCAGAGAAGCACACAGGGCATGGGAAGGGCAGACTGCTTTAATTACAGGGTAGAATGAAATTATTCCTGTAACAAAAGCAAGAGCAATTTCTAGAAAGTGGCAGGGGGAGTAAGGGGGGGAGGGGATTTGACTGATGATCACTAAGAGCTTTCACAGGAGACAGGAGAGAGAATCTTTAAAGGAATTCCAGCCAGAACTATAGTCAGGAAAAAGACTATAAACACTTTCAGGTATGTTAGTACATAGTGTGTGTGCGTGTGTGTGTGTGTGTGTGTGTGTGTGTGTGTGTGTGTATTTATACCTTTCTCCCTTAAAATTCCCCTTAAAATACCATTCACAGAGTCCATAGCAGTCAGGACCAGCTTTCATACAGTCTTGAAACAGTATCTCTCGGTGTGATCAGGACTGGGTGGAGTAAGGGGCGTTAAGAATGGGGTAAGGGTCTGCCTGTTGCAGTCTTGAGGGCATGGGGGCGGGGGGGGGGGGGGAAGAGCTGTCCCGCGTTTGGAGAGGGATGGCTTGGGCAGAAGGGAAATCAGGTTTACTGTAACCTCACTAGCAAACGGCAACGCAACCCAATTCTTCAGTCTCTAATTCGGATGTTTAAATAAGAGTGTCACATTTTTCTCCCTTTTTTTCCCCCCAGAGCACCCATTCCAGACTTAGCCTCTCTCCCCTTGCCTAAGGCATGGTTTCTGTCTCACTTCTGACTGCCAGGCAGGAAACGTTCCTAGCCACGGGATAAGCCTCCCGTTTGAAGGGGGCGAGGAGGAGGAGGTTGAGAAGAGGAAAAGAGGAACAAAGGAAGAAAAACACGAACTTTACTAGAGCAGCTGGCTGGAGCCACCAGCTTGAGGCAGGTTTCCAGTTTCCTAGAAGCAGGGATCCTTCTGGGCGTGGCCCAGAGTGTATGCTAATCTTTCTGCTGTTTTCCCTGTGGGCGTGGCCCCCACTGTATGCTAATCTTCCGCTATACTCTGTGGGCGTGGCTCCCAGTGTATGCTAATCCGTCCGGTTGTACCCTGTGGGCGTGACCCTCGGGCGGGCGGGGCCGTCCTGGCTGCGGATCCGCGGGGCGCCGGACGCTCTGGGCCGCTGACCCGCTCCCGGGGCTGGTCCACGTTGGTTCGGGTCTTTGTTCTGGGTCGTCGCGGGGACATGCGCGGCTGAGGATGGAAGTGGAGGACTCGGGCGGCGTGGTGCTGACCGCCTACCACTCGCACGCGTGTTCGCAACCGCAGGGCGCGGAGCCACGCTGTGCGTCCCGGGCGGCCGCCAGCCACCCGCTCAGCAGGTACCGAGCCGCTCCGCGGGCCGCGCGTCGGGCGGGGCAAGGGAGGCGGGCTGCGCTTCGGCGAGTTTTTTGTGGAGTTGATAACTGAGCATGCTCTTTTTATAGTCCTGATTGGAAATGAGAAATGGCCCGGGCAGAAGTCTGTGTGTGGCTGGCTTGAGCTGAGGCTAGCAGCGGTCCCTGTAGTCTTGATGGAACTTTATGATGAGTTAGACACGTACATCATTTCTGTGGAAGGCTCTCACCAGGAGGAATTTTAAAATATTCCTAAAAACCAAACACAAGCCGGATGGGGAAAAAAAAAAAAAAAAGAAAAGAAAAGAAAGAAAAGTACTCGCAATTACTCAGATTAACTATTTGGAGCCAAAGTTTCCCCTCAAAAGGAAACCTCCGGTGACGTATCAATCCCGCTTCTGGTGTAAATAACCTCAATTGTGTAAATGCAGTGATGTCATTATTTGATGACTGCTGGTGTCCATTCTCCGTGGCAAACGCAGTTCCTCTTTCTTTGGGTGGAAAGAAGTTTCTAACCTGTATATGCGCGTTTAATAAACCGGGGATAATCCACATTGCTCTGACAGTGTCCATCTGCTCCGTGAAGGATGAAGGACAGTTAGAGCCGCACTAACAACACCAAAGATGTGCGGACAAAAATATCCCGAATGTGAGGTGGTTTGCCCGCTGGCGTATTTAGGGGAAGTTCATTTGTTTAAGCGTCGCTATCTGCTACGAATACATCACTCGATGCCTTTATCTATCTATTTATTTATTTGTTTGTTTGTTTGTTTGTTTATAGCCTACTCTTTGGTGTGTTCTGATTTCGTTTTCTAATGGCATTTTTATGTCACTGTTATTTTTAATTGTTTTTTTTTCTCACACTTCTAACTTTATGTGATCATAATTACTTCTGTTTCCCAACTTATTTGATTTGTGACTATGTCACAGAATGTGCTTTGGAAGGCATCCATGAGATGAACCGACCACACTGGCTTAGGAGCCACCCCGGGCTGGCTTAGCTCACAAAGAAATTACGGTCTCTTCCGAAGAAGAGAGCGGGTTGAGGCAGAGCTCATTTTTATACAGACAATGAGAAACGGACTAGTTTCATCCGGCACCAGGACTCATTTATGTCATTTAAAGGCTGTTAGAAGATACAAACTTTCCTTTGTATTTAGCGTGTAATTCTCTTCAGAAATACCATCTTGGATCATGATGGCTTAGACTATGAGTGACTAAATACATGGGATCTGATGCAAAGCAAGGGCTTGGGTGGAGCTTAAGCCCCAGCAGCTGTCTTTTGGGCACCAGCCAGATAGCGGAAATCAAATTGGAGGGAGAACCTTTATTAGCTCAACATGTGGTCTTGCGGAATGAAAATGCTTGAGAGTGGGAGTGGTGATATCATAGTCAGTCCTTTACCATGAACCAGTTAGGTCCACGTCTGTAACTTGGTAGTTGCCTTTCACGCTGCAGGACCCTCTGTTTTTTCCCTCCTCCGAGGCAGGGGATGGAAGTGTACAGCCCCCTTCCTTCCAGCCCCTCGAACAGCAAGATCATGAGAGAATAGATTAAGTCCTTGGTACTCAGTAAAAGTTGAAAATAGAGGTTCCTGTGTTTACCAGGCGCCAGAGGATACCACCTCATCCATCATGTGTCTGATAACAGAAATTATCAGACCCGGTTATTAACCTTTGGCTTACCAGCTACTGATCAATACTTCCTTTCAAGCAAGAAGCAAGATGCTATTGTTGTACTCTGGAAGAAAGCACTCTCTCTTTCACAAACACACTTCCCTTAAACTCTGTTATGTATCTGGAGCCTACTTGTGGGTCAGTGAGTAGTCTGGCTCTGGGAATGTGATCACGGGCTCTGGCTTCCCAAGGATCGGCATTCTTTAGCTCTTGCTTGCACAGATGGAAATCAGAGCTAAGCCTTCCTCCTTCCTCCTCAGGCATCTAGTACTCCTAGTTTATCTAGTTTTCAGTTTGGGGCCTTAATTTTCCCACCAAAATATAGTATATCCCCCATCCCTATGTGTTGTTCATTTTGCCACCATTATTTTCAAATACTGAGGAAGTGTCTGGAATATTGTAGTAGCCAAATAAATGTTTCTTGAGGAAATTAATGGATTCCCACTAATATTATAAATGGCCAAGATAAAATGGCTCTTTTTAAGAGCCAAACTCAGCCCGTTTGCCATACTATATCTTAGTAAAACATCAAGCATTGGAGACAGGAAGATAAATGGGATTCTCTTCTGGCCACAAGAATGTGGCACCAACAGACTTTTACAAAAGGATGCAACAATAGAACTTTTGGGAGGAAAGGAGTGGCACAATTTCTAATATAAGAAGTTCCTGGTGTAACTGGATTTCCCAACTTCCGGTTGAGAATGGGGGGATAGTACCTGGGGTGCATGCTGCTGCCTGCCAACACTGTCCCGGGCTGAGGAATAGTCATGGCCGCTCACTGTGCTGGCCTTGGGAGCCCCTGTTTGCCGTACTCTTCCTGCTGCTTTTCCGCATTAAAGTCAGCAGTCCACTTAAATTCCTCTGGGGCCCTGCCTCTTCTTTCTTTCTTTATTTTGTTAAAATAAACGAACAGCAAAAAAGTGCCCGTGGAGTCAGGCTTGGTGCAAGATTGCCAGACCCTACCGTCACCTGCATCCGTGACTCCCCTGCTTCAAGCCAATGACCGGAACTGCTTAGAACACTGAGCGACGACTCACGAGGTACCACAAATGTCAATGACGTCCTTGATGTAAAGTAGACTAATCCAGGTCAAAACAATCAGTTTTACAGCTCCCATATTAGAATGTGGAAGAATTCAGAGAATCTCTTGCTCTTTCTTGCCTTGTTTGATGGATTACAACTACATACGGGATATAATGAACGAAGCTGTCTTCAAGCTCAGAAGCACGTGCCCTATAATGGCACTTCTGGGTACCTAAGACTCTGCGATGGGGTTGGCTGGCAATGTCTGCTCCAGATTTCAATTTAAAAAAAAAAATCAGTATTTAATGTAGATAAGCAGTTTATGCTATTTTATACATGGATCATTCTAAGAAGGTCAGCACTCGGAGAGTAAACAATGTGTTGATACAAAAGATAAGGTCCCACTTCTTGGAATTTGTCTGGGGAGTTTGGCTCTTTTAAAACATCACTGTTTCCTTTTGAGCCCTCCCCCCCCCCACACCGTGTTTCCTTGAGAATTATCTGCTGTCTTCTGTGATTGCTGCCCTCACGTTCCTAGACTCTAACTAAGCACAGTGTGGGTAGACTTGGTCGTGAATTGTTATAAGATCATTTCCTCATGTAGCTTTTGTCTTTTATGGTTTTCTGAGGAATTGATTTAAGAGACTCTACAGTCTTTCTTTGCTCTAACTTCTTAGGAGTCACACACCCGTCTTGCTGAAGCTCATTCTGCTTTATTGGGGCTAAGAGATGAGAGTCTTGCCAATGTCTGCTCTATGAAAATAAGTTGTTGAAATTGTCTTTAAAATCGTGCTTTTTAGAAAAGCCAAGTGTATACTCTGAATCCCAAGAATGTTGACAAACATCCAAAATACTTTCACGTATAAAGTGAGAATTAGCCAAAGATGATGGTGGTTGCCTGATTTTTCAAACATTTTCTTGCCTAAGTGAAATAGCGATGCAGACATTTTGGGGGAGGGCCGAATACGAAAGGACCATGATTATTTCTAGTTGTACAATAAACTTCCTGAGAAATGACAAAAATAGAGAAGGAAATAAGGTAGCTCTTCCTCAAAAACAAATAGAGCCAGCAACCAGGATTACCCTTGGGGTCTCCTCTGCAGCCCTGTCCCCACTTCTGTGAAGGAGACATTGAATCTTAATATTACAACCATATTTTTTTTTAAATAATGAGAACAATTTAATAAAACAGACTTGATGTTTAGGAAGCAAATATTTCGGATAAAACTGAACTTAACAATTTTTAGTGATGATCTATTTAGGGTTGAAGTTAGTTTAAAAAATAGGTATATCAACATGTCAACATTTGTTAAAATTAGACATTTATGTAAGCCCGTGTGAGCTTACGCATATACAAAGCACAGCAAATTCTAGGGAGTGGAGGGCTGCTTGTTCTAGAAGGTTCAGAAATAGTAATGGAAATGGAATTCCTAGATGGGGATGGGGATTTATAGGCCATGTGTATGCTGTGGTTGAAAGCAGAGCTGGTGTCTCTGGTTTCCTTCATGGACTCCCTGCTGAGCAGAGGTGCCTCCATATGTAGCGCTTGTTGCTAAACATCTGGTATATTTCCTTTGATCCTGTCGTTCATCTAAACATTTGGCCAGTTGCTCTATCCATTTTTAACCTGCTCAGTTCTCTCTGACCATTAATCCCTGACGCAAACTCAAACACACAGGAAGTCTAGCATGACCTGGAAGCACGCTTTCCCCCCTTAACTTTTAATTTTCATGACATACCTTTACATTTACGGAAAATTTGCAGCAGTCACCTTCACCCAGATTCCTTAACATGTTAACATTGTTGCAAAACCAGCATTGCAATGGTCAAAACTGAATACAGTAAGGATGGCATACTACAGTTAACTAAACTACAGACTGTATTCTTACTTCGCTACTTTTCTTGCCAGAGTTAATTTTCCTGATATACAGTAGAACCCAAGATCTCACAGTGATCTTAAGCACGTCTTCTAGGCTCCTTTCCGCTCTGGTAATCTGTCTTTTATGACCCTGCCACCTACTGCAAACTGGCTGGTGATTTCATAGGAAGTCACTTCAATTGAGCTGGCCCAAATGTGTTCTTAGGAATTCAGTGAGAGTTTGAGAAAATACTGTGGAAGTGACCATGGGCCATCCTGTCAGCTGCCTGGTACTCAGATGGTATATGATGTTGACGTTGGTCACCTGGGTAAGACGGCCTTGCTAGGTTTCTATACCACATAGTCACTGTTTTGTCCTTTGCAATGAATTGTTGTCCTCCTGGAAATACTTTCTGCAAACATCTTTC